ACATCCCACACCTGAGGATGCAAGAAAGCTCAAGTATTTGTATACCTCAACAAGATTGAAAGCCTGTTTTAGGGTTTCTTAGTGAGAATAAATCCTTCGAAGCAAAACTTGAGATCCCTTAAGGATGGAAATTGTTGTTCAAAGTATCAAAACCAATAGTTGGTTTGAAGATTGCTTTTCGGATTAAAGCAGTGCAACCCTCGAGGGGGGCTTCCATATTTTTGAAAGTATGAACTGTTGTTCGAAGCAAAAATGGTCAATTTAAAATTGATTGATCGTACTAACCATAACCATATGTTGGATATGATTAAGACAAGCTTTAAGGGGCAAGGTTGTTAAAATCGAAGCACTGATTCTAAATGGAAACCAGTGAAATTTGTCAATTGTATTCCATGAATTGGAAAAGGTCATGTTGATTTTTTAGTGTTTCATTTAAGATGATTGAATCTAGATTCGAAGGATGAGATTGTTGAATTTGAAGCCCTAAATTTGCTTGTAAAGGCAAACGGAGATAGAGTCAAACCATGCCAAACAAAGAGAAAAGTCTTAGCTGTATTGAAACAAAAACAATTACATCAAAAGGCCCTCTTTGGGTACAAATTCGAGTTCATAAAAGTAAGGAATAGAATAAATAACAAGATCATGGAATTTAGTCCAGCTATGGTCAATAAATTTATGTTCATTTTTTTATTCAATCCTCTATTTTCTCCAGGCTTGGCTGCTGAAGTTGATGTGCTCTTACTTGATAAAAGAGTTCTTCAGCCTTTATTTCGAACGATGTTTCTTTTAACCCTTGTTCCAGTTCGTCCATATCTAAGTCATCCCAGTACGCAGAGTTTTTATTCTTGAAGTCATCATATTCTTCGACGAGGTTCTCTGCTTCGTACTGGGTATGAACTCGAAGGGATGAAAGTTGGTTCAAAGATTAGGTGGTGGCCACAGAAGTCCGGTGCCAATGGAGAAGCAACGGGAGTTGGTCCAAAAACATTTGGAGTTCTGCTTGGGCGATGGGGTTGAGGATGTGACCCCGAGTCATAATATCACAAGCCTATCGAAGGTTCTTGAGAGGAACATCATCTTCAAGAACATTGAAAGGCAAGTGAGAAAAGGCCGCGAACAGAAGTTGGGCTTGCTTTCGATGAGCTGGAGTAGGGGAAGGTGGAGGCTTATAAGGAGAAAAAACCTTGTCCGCAGAGAGGGTAAGCCTCAGTCTTTCTGTCCAGCAGGGATTTTGCGAAGGAAGAGGTATAGAGGCTTCCATTTCGAAAGACGGAGGAAACTGAGGGGCATTAACATAATCAAGCCAGTCAGAAGAGCAAAGCCTCGCCTTCTGGGCCAAGAACGATGGGTTATACGCTTGTGTCTTTTCTGGGCGTCGGGTAGCTTGTACTATCTTTGTAGGCATGGAGGATGTGTACCATGTTACAAGCAGATTGTCCTCTAAATTGCGTCGGCGGTCAATGGGCACGTAAGGATAAACCACCAAACTTTGAGCATCAGAAGGGAATTCTAGAGGATTAGTGAACTCAACAAAGTGATGATTAACTGGCTCCCTTAACTCCCGTGCCTCAGATTCTGACCAGCTTCTCCAACCAGAAGCCCCAGAGGAAGAAGAAGCCACAGCCTCATCCCATGCAGAAGATTGTGGATTAGAAGAAGAATTTCCCATGTCCATATTTGCAAATTTCTAAATCAAAGGATTGTGGACAGTGTGTTCGTAGTCCAAGGGTTGATAATTTGCAAAAGCTTCCATGACTTGAATATAGAAAGATGGGTAAAGGTGGCTAATCAATGCATGAAGGTTCTTTCGAGGAAGAACAGCATCATCGGATGACTCTTCGTATACTCGATCAATAGAAGAGAGAATTGGTTTGGCTATGAAAGATGTATCAGTCTGTTCGAATACTAGGGTGGTAGGGATGTTCAAAAGATTAAAAGAGAATTTAATACAAATGATGAATGACGGTTGCATTTCTAGAAAAATGCAAAGCCCATGCACGTTCTAAGACGTGGATAAAAGATCTTGATCCACTAATATCTCCAAGTATTGGGTATATTAGTACGGGGGGTAATGTTGGCTACATATTTTGTATAAGCCAATTATAATTCAACGCGTGGCAGAATAAGGGTAATATGGGAAGACTATTCAAGTCTTCGATCGTGATCGTGCACGTGGCAGTTAGTATTGGTTCTTACAAGATCTGAGTAGTACTGGATCAGCAAAGAGATGTGGCTTCAACCTCATATTCAAATTCGAAATCAGGAGGGAAGCCTAACTGCATGTAATGGCATAGTGGAGCTAACTATAAGGCAACATGATCAGCGATCATAGAGGAACGATTCGACGGTTAGAAGTGCAGTTCGATGGTCATCTTTGAAAAGTATAAATAGCAGAGAATGCCCCAGAAAAAGCCCCAGACTCAGATCTAGAAAACCAGTTTTATTCTACTTTATTTCTTTTTCAGTTTTACATTTCTTGTTCTTTACATTTTTGTACTTCAAATTCCTGTACTACATTTCGTTCATAGGAGTAGTTTTCAAGTAGCTTGTTACTGTAAACCTCTACGAGGCTGATTCAGATCTTTGTAAGTTTTTCATTTTGCTTAATGAAATACTATAACTGTTCTTCATTTAATCATTGTTTGCTTAATTCTCCTAAACAAAGCCACCAGTAAAAGTCCTCTTCATTGAGGCTGAGAGAACTAAAACACAATCGTCTGATAATTGGTTGACAATTAACATTCTGTAAGGACTAATTGATCCTTACTAGCACGCTCACAATTAAAAAAATAACCTTCAAAAGTCAAAAAAGCCAACAAATACAATAATTGTACTATTAAAAAAATTAAATTTTTTAAAAGTGACTATTATTTTGGAACGAGAGGAATAATTAAGGGATTTTTATTGATAAATCCCATTTAGAAGTGTTTTAACCCAAAAAGTCCATGAAGAAATTTATTAACCTATTTAGTCCCATGTATATATAGTTTTATTCCATAAAGTCATTTTTTTTTATTTACACTTTTTTTTTAAACTCTTATGCCCTTATATTTAATTTTGATATCCTTACAAATATTTTTTGAACGGTTAGCAATTTTATGATGTAAATATTTATATTTTAACATTCACATTGGTAAAAATGTAAAATTGGCCCGTGGGCGGTCCGAAGATCGCCCCTGGGCCGGGGCGAGCTCGGTCCGTTGACAATGTAAATATTCACATTGACATGTTAACATTCACATTGATAAAAGTGTAAAATTGGCCCACGGCCTGTGGGCGACCCGAAACCCGCCCGTGGCTCGTGGGCTGCTCGAGGCGGGCCCGGCCCGGCCCGTTGACAATTGAATATTCATATTAACATATTAACATTTACATTGATAGGAATGTAAAATTGACCCACGGCCCGTAAGCGGCCCGAAATCCGCTAGCGGGTCCGGCCCGGCTCGTTTACAATGTGAATATTTACATTGACATATTAACATTCACATTGATAGGAGTGTAAAATTGGCCCGTGGCCTGGAACGGGTTCGACCTGTTGACAATGTGAATATTCACATTGACATGTTAATATTCATATTGATAGGAGTGTAAAATTGGCCCGCGGCCCGTAGACCACCCGAAGCCCTCCTGCAGCCCGGGGCAAGCTCGTTTGGGCCCGGGCCAGTGCCCGAGAACTCGGGCTAGGACCTGGGCCATCACTTTGAAGCTCGGCCCGCATAAGGCCCATTTAAGGCTCGGTCCGAGGCCCGGCTCGTCAGAAGCCCAGCTCGTCAGAGGCCCGGTGTCTTTTTCGTGGAAAATAATAAAATTTTGGGAGAAAAAATTAAAAAGAATTAAAAAAAATGACGAGGCTCACCCACCTGACCCAAGCCCAAGTCTAAGCCCAAGCACCTTGGCTCGACCCACCGGGGCACCCAAAGCCTGAATACCTTTGTGCCAAGGCTAGGGCCTAGGCCTAATTTTTTGGCCTGTGGGCCGGTTTGGTCCAGCCCGAATTTTGGCAAGCACCCATGAGGCTTTACATGGGTTGGCCTCGGCCCGGGCTGGGCCAAGCCCCTATACATTGATGCTATGAATATTCATATTGACGGTGTGAACATTCACATTGACGATGTGAACATTCACATTAGGGGTATTTTGATAATTATGTCACCCATAGGATGTGAACATTCACATTAGGAGTATTTTGGTAATTATGTCACCAATAGAACTTATTGAAACATAAGAAAATAATGTGGACTAAATGGAACATAAGTAGATGAAAATGGTATTTTGGTCTTCTTACCTCAAATAGGAACATTCACATTGACAGTGTGAACATTCACATTGACGATGTGAACATTCACATTAGGGGTATTTTGGTAATTATGTCACCCATAGGACTTATTAAAATATAAGAAAATAATGTGGATTAAATGGAACATACGTAGATAAAACGTGTATTTTGGTCTTCTTATCTCAAATAGGAACATTCACATTGACAGTGTGAACATTCACATTAAAGATGTGAACATTCACATTAGGGGTATTTTGGTAATTATGTCACCTATAGGACTTATTGAAACATAAGAAAATAATGTGAACTAAATAGAACATAAGTAGATGAAAAAGGATATTTTCATCTTCTTAACTTAAATAGGACCTAATGAAATAGTCAAAAAGAATATGAATTTAATAAAATAAAACTCTTAAAAAAAAATTTACCAAAAAAACTCTCAATAGTTGAAAATTTTGTCAAACATTTTAATACCAAAAAATCCTCGTAACCTCCATTAAAACAGCGGCATAAAACAGTTTTTACGTGGCAGCTGATTAATTGACTTTAACCCACCACCGAATGAGAGAAAAGTTGGGGTCCCACTAATTCATTAATATTTATATTATTTATCACATTTTTAAAAATATTTTTATTTATTTATCTGTCATTTCCTCAATAAAAATCAAATTAAAGTAGCTTCTACTAATTGAAAACACAATAATAATCATAGCCTAGCCAATCGGTTTGTAAAAGTCAATATCATTTCTCACTGAGGTGGTGTAGATTTTGGAGATATCCAACTACAACTGGGGTCAATGAGAGAGAGAGAATAAAAGACAGCGGGGTAATCAAGAGAGAGGGTATGTTTTGGGCTTGGACTCACAAACTGGAAGTAGATGAGGCATTTGGATGTGGAGGCTCTGCATTTAATTGGGTTGCAGAAAAGTTAGAGAGAGAAGAGAGAGCTTGGAGCTCTTACAGAACAGGGGGTTGAAGTCGGTTTCTTGTTTTTCTGAACTATTTTTCTGCTACATTTCGCTGAATCAATTTTCTGCTGTGTTTTCTTTGCCAATCTTTTTGGGATCTTGGTTTTGGGTTCAAGGGTTTGAGGTTTTGATTTCGTCTATGTATTGGGTTTTTTCCCAATTCGATGCTAATGTTTTGACTTTTGAATTTCAATGGGTTTCGGGTTTTGTAATTCCATGAATCTTTTGAATCTTGGGTCTAGAATTTCTGTGTGTTTTGAGTCTCTCTCTGTTTCTTTTTACTTTTCTCCTAATCCTATATTTTTTTGAGTCACTTTCCCAAAATGTTGAAGTGGTCCTCTAGTTCACTGATTGAACCCTAAAATCTGTGGGTAGATTTTTTCTTCTTTTTTTTTGCCCTTTTTTTTTTCTTCTTACGTTTCTGGGTTCCAAATGTGTTGTCTTAATCTGGCTTGAATCCTCAGTTACTGGATTTTCAAGGTAGTCAAATATAGGGTTTCTATTTGATCCGGTTAAAGATCAGTGAGAATTGAGATGTTGTGACCCAATTCTTATTTCTGTGTCTTTGAATGTTTTAGTAAAGCAAAGTATCTGTGGCTTTCCCTCCTTAAGATAGGGGTTTTGATTTTTGAAAGCAAAGCTTTGTTTTTGGGTAAGCTTTTGGATTGATTCCTCTTGCTTTTTGAAATTAGGGTTTGAACTAGACCTGCTTTTTGGGAGGGGTTTGGTATTAGATGGGCTAGACAAACAAACCCTTCTGTTCTGGTGGAGCTTGAGATAACTTGTTTATCTTTCTGGGTTTTTTTTTTCTCTCTCAAATTGATTATACAGATAAGCTTCAATGCATCTTTCACTATGGAAGCCAATTTCTCACTGTGCTGCTCTGATCATGGACAAGAAGAGCAGAAGAAGAGATGGGTCTAACCATTCAACAGAAGAAATCAGGAGAAACCCATCATTTCTGAGGAAATTGCTAGAGCACAAGCTCAGGGAAGCTCTTGAGGAAGCCTCTGAAGATGGGTCACTTGTGAAATCCCAAGACATGGACTCTGAGTCTGCTGCGAATCAAGAGGATGGCTTGGGGCGATCGCGATCGCTCGCGAGGCTCAACGCTCAAAAGGAATTCCTCAGAGCCACTGCTCTTGCCGCAGAGCGAACATTCGAGGATGAAGATTCAATTCCTGACCTCCATGAATCGTTTTCCAAGTTCCTCACAATGTACCCAAAGTACCAATCATCAGAGAGGATTGATCAGCTAAGGGTGGATGATTATGCAAATCTATCAGGGTCAGCACCTAAGGTATATCTTGATTACTGTGGATTTGGGTTGTTTTCATTTCTTCAAACAGTTCACTATTGGGAATCTTCAACATTTAGTTTGTCTGAGATTACTGCAAATTTGAGCAATCATGCTTTGTATGGAGGTGCTGAGAAAGGCACTGTGGAACATGATATAAAGACTAGGATAATGGATTATCTGAACATCCCTGAGAATGAATATGGACTTGTTTTTACTGTGAGCCGTGGATCAGCATTTAAATTGCTAGCTGAATCATACCCTTTTCATACTAACAAGAAATTGTTAACCATGTTTGATCACGAGAGCCAGTCAGTGAATTGGATGGCTCAGGGTGCTAGGGATAAAGGTGCAAAAGTTTACAGTGCATGGTTTAAATGGCCAACCCTCAAATTATGCTCAACTGATCTGCGAAAGCAGATTTCAAACAAGAAAAAGAGGAAAAAGGATTCAGCTACTGGTCTTTTTGTGTTTCCTGTTCAGTCTAGAGTCACCGGTGCGAAGTATTCATACCAGTGGATGGCACTGGCACAGCAGAACAATTGGCATGTCTTGCTCGATGCTGGGTCGTTAGGTCCCAAAGACATGGATTCTCTTGGGTTGTCTCTGTTTAGGCCGGATTTCATTATCACATCGTTTTACAGGGTATTTGGGTATGACCCAACTGGATTTGGATGTCTTCTCATTAAAAAATCAGTGATGGCAAGCCTTCAAAATCAATCTGGGCATGCTGGTTCAGGTATAGTGAAAATCACCCCTGTTTTCCCTCTGTATCTGAATGATTCTATTGATGGGCTACCTGGATTGTCTGGACTTGAAGATGATGAAGCCGGTCGGAATAGTGAGTTATCCTCTGAAACTCGCCCAGGAGCGCAATTGCCTGCCTTTTCCGGTGCATTCACTTCTGCTCAAGTGAGGGATGTGTTTGAAACAGAGATGGATCAGGATAACAGCCCTGACAGAGATGGGACAAGCACTATATTTGAAGAAACCGAGAGTATTTCTGTTGGGGAGGTGATGAAGAGTCCGGTTTTCAGTGAAGATGAGTCATCAGACAACTCGATATGGATTGATTTGGGTCAGAGTCCTTTGGGATCAGAACACAATGGCCAGGTGAACAAACATAAGGTAGCCTCTCCATTGCCACCCTTTTGGTTTTCGGGTAAGAAGAACAAGCGTCTTTCTCCAAAACCATCATCGAAGATTTCTAACAGCCATTTATACGACAAAGAGGTACACTCAGCTTCGCATGAGGACCACCATGTGCTATCATTTGATGCTGCTGTTCTATCAGTGTCACAGGATCTTGACCGTCTTAAGCAGGTCCCCGAAGAAGAACAATTCGCTGAAACAAAACCCTATTCACAAAATGGTGCGAAGGGTTTGGGTCATCATCACGATCATGAAATTCAGGAGGAACCTCAAACCCACAAATATTCTGGGGTAAATGGATCTAGTCTCAACAATGGCTCAACGTCTGAAATTTACCCGGAGACAAAAGAAAGTGCAATAAGAAGAGAGACAGAAGGGGAGTTTAGGTTGTTGGGAAGGAGGGAAGGTGGTAGATTTTCTGGTGGTAGATTTTTTGGCATAGAAGAGCTTGAACAGCCTGGTAGCAAGGGAAGGAGGGTATCGTTTAGTACGGAAGATCACCGTAAAGATCTGAGCCATACATTGGAGCCCGGAGACTTATCTGCCACAAGCTTCGATGATGAGTATGGCAGCGACGGAGAATATGCTGATGGGCAAGACTCCGACAGAAGGGAACCCGAGTTAGTTTGCAAGCATCTTGATCATGTAAACATGTTGGGTCTCAACAAAACCACTCTCCGGCTGCGATTCTTGATCAATTGGCTTGTGACCTCATTACTTCAATTAAGATTGCCGGCTTCTGATGGGAACGAATCTTTGCCACTTGTTCACATTTATGGCCCAAAGATTAAATACGAAAGGGGTGCTGCTGTGGCTTTCAATGTGAGAGACAGAAACCGGGGTCTAATTAATCCAGAACTTGTTCAGAAGCTGGCTGAGACAAATGGTATCTCGCTTGGCATTGGTATCCTCAGTCACATACGGATTTTAGATAGCCCAAGACAGCAGCGCAGTTCTTTCAATCTTGAAGATACTGCCCTGTGCAGGCCAATGGAAAATGGCTGGCATGATGGAAAAAGGGGGTTCATTCGCATTGAGGTTGTCACGGCTTCTCTTGGCTTTTTGACTAATTTCGATGATGTTTACAAGTTGTGGGCATTTGTAGCAAAGTTTCTTAATCCTGCCTATATCAAAGAGGGTGGACTTCCAACTGTTGCAGAAGGTTCAGAGTCATAAGGCTAAAACAGGTGACAACGCTCTGCTTTCTATTTCAAAGCAAAGATCAATCTGCCCTATGAAATTCTATTACATCCTACAGTTGGAAGTGGAATATTAATATTTTGTTGCATAGAAAGAATTAGAAGTTGCCGTTTTCATTGTGCAGTAGTCTTTTGGTTTTTCTGGAGACTTTGCTGCAAGTGGGTGAATTTGTTCATTCATGTTTTTATTTGCTGTTTTTTTGTTTTTTTTGCTCCTTCATGGGTTATTGTAGACTTGTAGAGTTGGCTTTAGAAATTTGTATGCTTCAGAAAGTCATGAACTCAAAGTAGAGTTAAATGGGCACAACTTGTTTTTTTTTCTTCTGCTTGTGTAAGATTTAGCTTATTTTACTTGTTTTGGGTTACCTCAAAATTCAGTGAGATGTGCAATAAAATTAATACCTTCTATAGGGTCTCAATTGTTGATGATTTTACTGAGATTTGTTTGCAAGAGTTGACTTTGATATGACTATATATATTTTTCTTGCTTTGTTTTTCCTGAAGTAGAAAGTGGGAAGAGAGATGTAACTACTGTCTCGGAGTAATGATAACACAGGAACTAAAAGGTAGTTCTGTTATCAGAAATCTATCTATTTTTAGGAAAAAATTTGTTAACTCTAGGATACTTTCTTTGAAATCCTTTCTGTAGGCCAACAAAGAATTTGATTCCACTCCAGTAGCCAACTAGTGTTTTCATATTTTATGTTGCCCAATTCAGTATAAGACTTGGATGATGCTACTGATTTCAGAATCATGTTATGGAAATCATTAACGATAATATGTTGATATATGATTATTTTAAGGGCAAATTACACCTATGATCATGTAATTTGCGTTTTGTATCAATTTGGTCCTTGTGATTCTGAATGCATGAATTTTCCCCTTTTATTTTGCACAAAATAATTTATTCACTCTCTTCAAAGTGATTAAGAGGTTGGTGTCGAATTTGAATAGGTCTATTATTCCCTTTTGAATGTATTATTCTGCCATCAAACTTTTGTCCAATTTCTTAGTGAATGTTATCAATTAGAATGAATCCACATAATATGAAAACTTAAGGGGCAAAATTGATAGAATTATAATTACAAGAACCAAATCGACACGAGACAAATTACAGGACCATTGATATAATTTGTCCTTATTTTATGACCAAGAACCTATCCAATGTTGTGTCCTTTGGACCCATCCCTGACTATGCTTTGAATATTTGTAAGTGCCTGCAAACCTATATCTATTTAAATAGGGGTAGATTTCAAATTAAGGGATTTGAAGTTAAATGGATAGAAAAATAATGGAATAACAGTTGCTTGGTTTGCAAGAATAAAAATTCTAGTTCAAGTGACCTTTTCATGCATGAACCACCATAATTTACCAATCCCTTACTCATCAATTTCTTGTCCATATCCAAGTCAAGTCCAAGGATGTAGGCCTAGTGAAATGAAGCGCAATCACTTTCAGAAAAATAAATTTGATTTTTTTTTTCCAGTTAGTTGAATTATCTATTCCTACTCATCAATATCTTTGTCCATATCCATTCTAGTCCAAGGATGTAGGAGGCTCAATCCCTTTCAAGAAATAATTTCATTTTTTTTTTCAGCATTTGAATTAGTCCATTTTATATTGCTGAGACTTTGTAAGCTCTCCCACCATACTCTGTTTTCTTTATTTCAATGGATGGCAGCATGTCAACTACCTCATACCTGATCAAAGAGAAACATGCCATGAAATTTCTAAAGAAACACAATGAATCAAGTAAAGCAACAGTGACATGATGTTAACAGAGGCTATATATATATATATATATCTTTGCAGGGAAATGCATTATACACCCAGCACATCATTGAACAACAAGAAAAGATTGCAAATTAGATGATTCAAGGCTATGGGGTCTCTTTCTTCCTATAGTTGTTGGCTCTGTTTGGTGTAACTTGTAGGTGCTAGGTATTATTTTTTATTTTAAGACTTTGTGTGGGAGTGTATGTTTAAAGTTTATGAGGTAAAAATAATCTATATTAGCTGGGGGAAAGAATGATTATTGGAAAGCTGAGAAAGAGATACATTTAGTTTCTATTTTCTAATTATTAATTTTTAGTTTGCAATAAATTGCAGCAAATAGGCCATTATAATTATACCTTTGACCAATTGATTTTTGTAATAAATATTAGGAAGATTTATTTGTAGTTCCCTTTTAGTAGATTTATAGCCCAATAAATTCACAAGGTTTTTTTGTGTTTCATTAAGTTTCATATATTTAGGCTTGGTTTGGGGTATACTAAAATAATACAAAAAGTCACCATTTTTATTTAAGTCACATCATCTTATTTAAATCACATCATCTCTCTAACACATCACATCAAATCTAACTCAAACCCAACCCATATAAGCCAATAAGTCAAAAAGTGCACTTTTTTAGAACATCTCAAACCAACCCTTAGGAGTTGTTTGGGATGTTCTAAATAAGTGCACTTTTTGACTTTTTATGAAATATGGATTGGGTTTGAAGTGATGTGGTAGGGAGGTGACGTGACTTGGAGTTGTTCGGGATGATCTAAATAAGTGCACTTTTTGTCTTTTTACGAAAAGATGTGTAGAAAAGTAGAGAAGTGATGTGATGGAAAAAAGATAAAAAGATAAAAAGATGAATTATTTATGGGATGCCAAACTTGGAATAAGATGATGTGACTAAAAAAGGATAGTGACTTTTTGACTTTTTTTGAAGATGCCAAACTTAGCCTTAGACTCATATCACAAGAGGTCTTTTTTGCCTCATTTAAATTTTTTTTGAGACTATTATACTCTTTGTTCTATTTTGATAGTATTATACACAATAGGATATAACTTTTTTCATATTTTGTTATTTCTATTTTGGAAGTTTCGGGGATTAGAAATCTTAGAGGAATCAATAGATACATTTTCATTATATGTTTTTGTAGGAGTTTCGTTTACAAATTAGTGGTGAGAGAGCATTTGAATATTTTCTTCTTCCATTGTTATGGTTTGAAACTCCATTTTTTTTTCCCTATTGTTGCGGTTTTCAAGTTCAAAATTATTGGACGAAGGTTAGAGAACATTCAAATACTACCTTCTTTCATTGTTGAAGTTTGAAACTCTATTTTCTTTCATTGTTGCGGTTTTGAAGTTCTGTTTTCTTCCATTGTTGCGGTTTCAAAGTTCAGAATTGTTGGATGAAGGTTAGCACCATTTTGTTTTGCAACTGCATGTAGATTTGCGTTTGGTAGGAATTCATGTTCAATAAAGTTGGATTCTACTTTTTGTTTCGAAATGAATTGATATGGTATTATGTATCAGTGTGTGTCCACTTATTAGGTGGGTATTTCAGTGAATGTGAACGTTCACATCCACTGAAGTAGTTGTTGTTGTGAATTATCAGATTTTAATGTTTTGCATTTGATGATGTGAACTTCAACATTAGAAGTATGTAATGGTTGCATGACGTGCAGTGTAGACTAATGATTGCATGACGTGCAATGTAGACTAATGATTGCATAGTTATTGCATAATGTGAATGTTTACCTATTACTGATTATTGTATGAGTTTTCTATAATTATTACATGGTGTGAATATTCACATTGTAATGAGTCATTGCTTGTTGTGAATTATCACATTGTAATGTGTTGCAATTGGTGTTGTGATCATTACATTATTAATCAATGTTAATATTCACATTCAGAAATAGTCATACAAGTGCAAATAACAATGTGTTATTTTACCAACATGCATTCATAAAGTGAAAGTTCACATCAACATTTATTTATCATAACTCACATTAAGTCAATGGTTATGTGTATATAAATATAAGCAACCATCGGTAATGTGAATGTTCATAATATCTACACTTCGATCGATATGATTGTTCATAGTGTTGTTTCTTTACGTAGGAGAAAGGTAGATGGTTTAAGGTTTTGAATATGTGAGAGATTTTCTTCCGAAAATAAGGAAGAGATTTTTTTATAGAATAAATGAGAGATTTTTCCATGAAATAAAAGAGAGATTTTCGCACTAGAATGAGGGAGAAATTTTCTTGATTAAATGAGAGACTATTATTATTATTATTATTAATTGTGTATTGGTTTCAAAATGGAAACTCACTCTAAAAGTTTGAAAAGGTGATTTGGTTATATGACATTAAACAGGACCAAATGGAATATTAAAAAATAAAATGAGTTAAATGGAATATAACATGTAAGAATATAACTTTTTTAAAAATAGCCCTAAATATTACATCTATGGAATTATAATTAGGTTTAATTTATCACTAATTTATTAAGTCATTGTTAATTCGACAATAAAGAAATTGAAATCTTGACTTATATATTGAAATTCTTACCTATCCTAACTAATTTATTTGTAACAATTAAAAACTACACCAAAATCCCCACCAATTTATTGAAATCTTCACCTAGACTCCAATCAAGATGCAACTAAAGTTGGTGTTGATTCTTCAAGAACAAGAAGGCCTAATGGAAGAAAGATCGAAAAAGAATCGCATAAAAAGAACGAGATAGTAGATGATTCGTGCTTTCCTTTTTGTGATTTCATAGATAATTTTAATAGGTAAAGATGTGATATTCAAGAGGGGAGTGCTAGACTAAAAGAAAGAAAATTAAAATTAGTCTCGGATAAAACTTATTATTAACAAAGTAAAATAAGATTTTTTTATTTTTTTTTGAATAAGATTTATGCTACAATAATAAAATAGTCAGCAAATATCAATTTTTGTGATTTTTGTGATTTTTTTTTTTTTTATAAATTTCATGATTATATATTATAATTTCATGATTATATATTATGTTTTTTTTTGTTTGATGTTATCCTTATTTATTTTGCAACGTTGATTTAAATTGGTTATGAAAAAAACATAGCACAAAAAAATTACACAATTAGAGTAACTGTATTATTTTAGCACAATAAATACAACAGATTAATGGAGCAGTTTGTAACAAATATGTATAAAATATATTTTTACTGTATTAAAATAGTACAAATATATATATATATATATATATATATATTACACTACTCTTTTTTAAGACAATATGCTGATGATCAAAGCTGTGCTTTTCCTAGCAAAGAAACAAAAGGAACTCACAACTTATCAGGTTGGGATTCATTGGTCTAAAAATAAAAGCCAATGTTTTTATCTCATTATTTACAATCACATAATTTGATTTTTTTTATATTAAAAATAATTATTAAAAAATAAAAGGAGATTGTGTGGTTATGAGTGTAAGGAATAAGGACAAACACTTTTTTAGATGAGAATAGGGGTAAAAAAATAAAAAAATAAAAAAAGGCCCAAACTAAGCCCAAAAAATATGTACCTTTAGAATTTATACAAACATATTTAGAAAAAAATTATATGTTTAAAATTTAAAATATGTGAATCAAATTCATTTT